GCGAGACATATCCTGTTACGAAGCTACTTCAAGATAGAGAAGCAGATTCATGCCGTCTCAAACTCCTTGCGAACTCCGATCATGCTTGGCATGAAAATTTGCGACACCGAACATAGAGATAAACTAAACATTAATTTCTGCACATTGTGCTAACCAAATACCAAGATTAGACCATCTTTAAATTCCGAAGTTAGTCTGTAAAACAGATCTGAATCCATACCTCTCACTCCAAAATCATGAGTTCAAATCTCACCCGGATAAAGCACGAATTCACGGGAGTGTGAAAATTACTAAAAGTAAAAAAAAAACACTTTCCTTGAAATTTTGCTAAGTATTCTCAAATTATCCTCTTGGAATACTGTAAAGATTCCTTTAACAGGGCTGGTAGCAGGTCACTTTTTAGTGACTTGGTCACTATTTTCAAGCCAGTCACTAAAAAGTCACTTTTTTCATCAAAATGTCACTACAGTCACTATTTCTTCAAATTTAGTCACTAAGTTACTTTTTTACGACCAATGTTGGGAGTAAAAAAAATTACTTAAAAACTCACATTATATCACAGATTGATTTGGTAACAAATATGTGTAAGAAAGATTCATTAAACATCCGTGTGTAAATTTTGACGGACAAGAAAAGTTTGCGAACAGACGGAAATGTTAACCGTCCAATTGATGATGACGGAATTGCTAATATTTTGATTTTTTTGATCTCGAAATGGTTATAGACCTATCACAAATTGTCAGAGGTTTTGAAAAAAAAGCTCTAGACCCAATAGTCTGGCTATTTTCCTTCGAGATCTTGCATCTTTTCCAAGCTTAAATGTCAAAAAATAGTCAACGAAAGTGTTCAAGCTCTCGACATTTTTCCAGGTCCAGGTCTTAGAAAAACAAAATATGTCCATGATAATAACATATTTTCTATGTTTCAGAACCATTTAAATTGTTCAAGGACTGTTAACTTACATTCTATATGTAAAACATATAGAAAATTATTTCAAGTCTTACAATTTTCTCAATTTGGTTGTTTAGAGATCTCGAATGTTTAAGCCCAGCAATAAAAAAAAATGTTCAAAACTCTAAAATGCATCCCTAAATCCCTAATTTTTCACGATCGAGATTTTTAGTCCTAGACGCATTCAAATTTTATTTTATGTCCGTGATCTTTCCATCTGGGAAATTTTTCTTTGTTCCATAATAATTAGATGTTTTTAAAACTGCGATCTAGAAAAGTTGTCTAGGTCCCATAGTTATGAATTTGTTTCTATGTGCTACAGAAGAGTCTCTTCTTGGGAAGAATGAAGATGATCAGTGCGCTATAGCGGCTACAAAGAGGAGAACGATTTTTTTTATTAAAATACTAATCGCTATTCGCATTGCTTCATCTATATCTTCGATATTTAAAATTGACTGTCCTAAAATTTTCAAAATTTGTTTAAATCTTTGAATTTGAACATTTTTCTCTGTGCCTCAATTTTGCGATCTTTTTTTGTTTAAAAGTCACTATTTGGTCACTATTTTTGTTATTTTAGTCACTAAAGTCACTACTATTGAATCACATACGCGCTACCAGCCCTGCTTTAAGTTCATTAAAAAAAAAATCATCATTGGAATTTCCTACTCTTTTCAATTCCAATCCTCAATTGAGAATAACAATTTTTGAACTTACTACATATTACATACTGTATTCTTTAGGGTCAACAGTTAAGCGAAATAATAATCTATGCTTCAAGTATGGATTTGGGTTATATCATGCGATAAAACTTGTGATGGTACTTGGAGTATTTTACCATATTTAACTTAGTTGAAGATGCTAATTTCAAATAACAGATTAAAGTGGTAATTTTTATACGATAGATGGAGGAGATGAAAGCATAGAGTTGATAGTTCCGTTAGAGTACGGCAGTGTGAAAATTGCATATTGATAGTAGATAGCGAGCTAGGACAACTTTTAAGGAAGGTACAAATCGGTTTTTTCATCTCTCTTTACCAAACTCCCCCTTTGGAAAGGGATGGTGAGGTTTTTTCATTTATTTATTTGATAAGGCTCAATTGAATTAAATTTACATAGCCGAGGATTCTTGTTCAATATACAAAAAAAAATCTTAAGACTATCGTCAAAAGGTACAACACAATAAACACCTTATCTTCCGCTATCCAAAAAGCCTCCTCCATCAGAGCGGGAGCCGCATCCAGTGGTTTCTTTGTATGGCAGTATCGCCAACGAAGGGCAGAGCGCATCCATTGCAGCAATGGACGCAAAACGTGGTCAGCTCTCACACACTCATCACGAAACGGTTGCTTTCCAAAGTCGTCGACGCATCGACCAAAATAACTGCTGTTGAAGAACTGCTGTTGAGTGATCTGCTTTTGTCGACAGCCGAGTGAACTCTGTTAGAGACTTATTATGATAATAATAATAAAATGTCGAACGACGAGCTTTTTCTAATAAAACATATGTTTCTCTAAGTAAAATGTTGTCCATTTTACGATACACGCTATGACGACTTTTATTCAAAGTGAATGTAGGGTTTTTGATCTAATTTCCGTCCTACTAAGCACAACCCGCGCTTTACATATCTTTTATGAACGAGTTTAAACAAAAAATTGAATATTTCTGTCAAAGATGACTTCTAAATTCATTCACCTTTCCATGCGTACCGTCGGATTTAATAAAGAGTCACAAATTGTTGAGATATTGTTTAAAATCTAACACTGCTTCTTGATTCTAAATTCGTTCTACGAGTTTCAATTCCGTCCTAACGCATTGAAACGCCATTAGATTTTCTTCGTCCTACGGATAAACGTAGAAAAAGAGGATTCGCTAAGAGCGCTTCTTTTGTTTTGAGAACAATGAGCGCAAATATTCATATAATGCGCTCTAACTGGATTTATGTTGTAGCAAATGGACCTGCGCATCAGAACCAACCCTTTTATTGATTTGTACATGGTGCAATCATTGATATTATTGATCTTTTCTGATCGATAGAACGGAAATGCGCGATTAAGACGAAGTAGTGCTCTACCCTACCTATAATTTTATTTCATTAGATGATAGTTTGGGACCTCTAGTTTCATAATCTGTAAGATTTAAAATATTTCATCGGTGAAAATTTGATTTTTGTTTTTACATTTTTTATGTTTTTTTTTTTAAACGTAAAAAATACGTTCTGATTTTTAAAAAAATATTGGAACAAGATGTCGCAAATCTAAAAACAGTAGTTTTGTCTCTAGTTTACAGAAAAAATTACGTGTAAAAACATTTTTTTCTGTGTCATCATGGAAAAAGCTGGACTCAAGAAACCGGAAAAATCAACCATTTTTTCGTATTATATTATCTCTTAAGTGCAGACGCCTACTGTTATTTATATCATTGGTGTTGTCATGAAATGAGGAGGTACAGAAAAATGCAGATCGTCAAATGCATTTGTATAAGTAACCCAAAAATATTGTAAACACAAATAGTGACGTCACTACTTACATGGGCAGCAAACGGAGCCCTGCGTATGTAGTTGAGATATCGCTTATATCGTACAGTGGTGCCACTTGCACACATGGGTTGAAACGGTTGACGTTTTTTACTACAGTCGCTTCGTTGTCGTGCGCGACAGTCCGTCGTACACTCATGCTCTAACGTCATCTCCCTCACACATCACAAACGGTAGCATAACATTCGAGCAAAAAGAAAATCTTCAAATAACTATCATATGACATGTGTGATTTCGTTCTAATTCCTCAATTTGGTGTACATTAATCCATTTATGATCAGAAATGTTGTTACTAAGACAGAATTCAAACAAGCACAACATCAGCAGCTCTTATTATTAGAAAAACTATAATACATACATTCGTGACGGTCTGCAACGACAGAGCCTGTCATATGACATTTTAGTTTGGTACTGTACTATGATAGCTTGTTTTACAAGTGTTGGAGGCAAAAGCAGTTGATTATTACAGAAAATGTGTCGACTACCGTGACCGCTTACAAGACTGCTCACACAACATAGCCAATTGCTTCACCATTGAAGATATGTCAGATTTTGTATCATCAATATAAGCGTATGCTTCAATTGAAAAGTAAAAACCATAATGTGTGGTCACGAGGAGAACCATGGAATAGTGTGCATTTTGTGCTTTAAAAATGCAAAACAGCCGAAATTCATTCATCAAACCCTGGAGTCAGTGATTGTTATGTACTCACTCTCTCTTGGGGTAGATCATTGCCCTTACCACAACAGCACAGACGAAAACCTACCTTGTGATCGAGCCACCGACAGCTATACACTTCACAGCCACCAGCATATGGATCGAAGAGTCACCGTTGGCTGTACACGCTACAGCCACCAGCGACGGAATGCCTCTCTCAAACGAAGGACCACGACACAACTCGTGATCAAACCACCGACAGCTGTGCACCTCACAGCCACCAGTAGTGGGATGATGAGCCACTGACAGCTGTGCACACCACAGCTACCAGCGAACGGACGATGCACCGTTGGCTGCGCACACCACAGCGGACAGCGTAGGAACGATGGGTCGCTGATAACTCTTCAGCCACCAGTCGTTGAGCTGCCAATAGCTGTAACCACTACAGCCACCAGCGCAGTAATCTCTCTCTCTCTCTCTCTCGAAGGACCACGGCAAAACTGCCGAACACAAGGCTCTGATGAGCAGGGAAACAGGAAAGTTCAACTCTTTTAAAAGTGTCCACTAGGTGGAACTTATGGAAGATGAATCGATCACCACATGCAACCAGTGGATGAACGAACAGCAACTGGACGAAGCACGAATGCTCGGGAAATCTCCGTTCTCGGACGAAAAGAATGAGACACTGTTCTCAATTCTACCTTTATTTATTCGCTGCTTCCTCTTCAATGGTTAAATGCAGGATACTGAATGAAACATGAAATACAATGTTGTTTACTTTTATACTCTTTCATCGGCTGCGTCAGCCAATCCGGATGCGCCATTCGATGACGTCGTTCGTTTTCCTATTGGAAGCGTTCATCGCGTACATACTCCCGCCGGTTGGAATACCATTCCAAAAGCGGAAATCTTCGATTGGTCGTTGTCGGTAATAGGAAGAGGCGCCAACTTCCGAATGGAGCGCCGGAATACTCCCGTTGCAGTCTTCACGTCGGCGACTCTGATCACGTCATCCCTTCCCGGGTAAAGAGCAACAATTTGACCCAACCTCCATGACTGAACTGGGCCCATTAAGGGCTGAATTCCTCTCGGCTTAGTCCTGAAACACTTTACGCAGCTTCGAGTCACTTTCCGGATGGCAGATCGAGCATTTACCAACCAGTACTTCTGCCTTATTGCTGCCAGCAAACCGGATGGCCCTTCATGCAGTCTCTCCTCGTGATATTGACGAATCAACATTTCCGTCACTCGGTGATTGCGTGGAAGAAGTAATTGGTGCTTGGCGTCATACGGTAATTTAGAGTTTTGTAGACGCCCGCCGACGCGAAGGAAACCTTCTTCGTCCAGGAATGGTTGAAGATTCGCCAATCGCTTCGGCAACTCCTTACGCTGAACACACTGGATCTCCTCGTTCAATCCGGTCCTCTGCAAAATCCTTACTATGTAATCCAATGCCTTCCGCATGTCTTGCCCAGAAATGTATCTTGCATGTTTACGATTCTCCTTTTTCATTCGTATCAGTCGAGTGAATCTCACCACCTGCGCCAATACACGTTGCAGCTTGGAAAACGATCCGCACCGCTCGAATACCGGATCGTCTTCAACATCGACCGCTGGGTTACACACTTGAACTTGTCGCATTTCTGGTAACTCTTCATCTTGAATCACCGGAGTCTCCTGGATATCGTAGTTAACATCTTGCAGAAATAGTGGACCATTCCACCACATATCAGAACGATGCAACACACCAGGGTAACACCCTCTGGACACCAAATCCGCAGGATTATTCTCGGATCTGACGTACTTCCACTCGTAGGCACTAGTCAGTTTGTTAATATCCAAAACTCGGTTTCTGACGTAGACTTGAAGTTGATCCGGATTCTTCTTTATCCATGCCAGCACAATTTGGCTATCAGACCACAGCTTGATATCGTGGAATTCGGTTTTCAGAATAGGGATCACTACACTAACCAGTTTGGCCAATACCACAGCGGCACACAGCTCTAATCTAGGTATTGTGAGACGACGCAGAGGGGCAATCCTTGACTTACTGCAAAGCAGCCTAACTGACACTGCCCCGTCCTCCTGAACACAACGCAAATAAACGCATGCACCATAAGCAGTACACGACGCATCAGAGAAGCCGTGAATCTCAATACGTTGAGCTCCAGGAGCCATAACACATCTCGGTATTCGTATCTCGTTCAGTTGTACCAATGACTGATGTAAGGTCACCCATCTACTCAACAACTCGCCCTCTAGGGTATCGTCCCATCCCAGACCATCAGCCCACAATTGCTGCATGATGGACTTAGCCAAAACGATCACAGGTGATATGAGGCCAAGGGGATCAAACAGTTTGGCGATTTGTGAGAGAACATACCTTTTAGTCACCTTCACATCCGGTTGCATCACTTCCGGGTTTCTCCAAAACAGGAACTGATCACATCTTGGGTCCCACAGAACACCTAAAGCTCGAATCGCTTCATTGGTACCAGAATCTCCTATTCGAACTAGCTTTTCACGGTCTTGATCCGGAACACCTTTAAGAATTTCGTCGTCGTTGGTACACCATTTTCGGATAGGAAATTTTCCTTTCATCATAAGCTCCTCGATATCACTTCGCAGTTGCTTCGCGGATGCAAGTGTTGGGGCACCACTCAATATATCGTCCATGTAGCAGTCCTCTAATATCGCCTCTGCAGCTGCAGGAAAGTTGGATCTTTCCTCTCTCGCTAGTTGAACCATGGACCTCACTGCCAAAAACGATGCAGGAGACGTCCCGTAGGTCACCGTTAACAACTCCATCACTTTTATCGGGTCCATCGGTTGGTCACGCCAGAAAGTTCTGTGGTAATGTGTCTGTCTTGGATCAAGTTTCACTTGCCTAAACATTTTCTCAACGTCTCCAGAAAATGCATATATGTGCATCCGGAAACGTAATTGGATTGTAAACAGATCGTTCTGAATTTTCGGTCCAATCATCAGAACTTCGTTGAGGGATAATCCGTTAGACTTCACCTTGGCGTCAAATACAACACGTAACTTTGTGCTGGTACTTGTAGGTTTAAGTACAGCATGATGTGGCAAATAGTAGCTCTGTTGGCCAGGCGGATCGTCTTCCTCACGGATCTCGTGGCAATGACCAAGGTCCTTGTACTCCTGCATAAACTCTTGGTACATCTCTTTCATCTCGGGTTTATTGGTTAGATGTTTCTCAATTGACAGGAACCTCTTCAACGCTAATGATCGGGAGTTTCCTAGTTCATTGATGGACTCACGGAACGGTAGTTGAACCACGAATCGGCCATCCTTATCTCGTCGATAAGTTTTGCAGAAGTGATCTTCTATCGCTTGCTCTTCATTCGTCAGGACTTTTTCTTCTGGAAGTTCTTCTTGCTCGAAAAACCTCTGAATGCTCTTCAGCAACAGATCCTCATTTGTGGCGCACAGCACGTTGACGACTTCCTCCTCGGACTCTTCTAAAGCACCGGCAATAACCCATCCGAACTGAGTCTCGTACAGTACGGGTAGATTATCAGAGAGTTTCAGCTGAGCTTGTTTCAGGATTTTGAAAAACAGCTCGGCACCGATCAGTAGGTCCACTTCTCTCGGTTCGTTGAAGCTTGGATCGGCCAACACAATACCACTCGGGAACTTCCACTCCGAGATGTCAACTGGAACAGATGGAATCTTTCCTGTCACTCTAGCTGTCACCAAACAGTCCATGTCACCTTGGAAATCGGTGTAGTCGGAGAAACACTTCAGGATCACACGATGACGAATTTGAGATCTGGCGCCACCCACTCCTACGACTGGCACGTTGGCAGGATACTTCGGAAGCGCTAGCAGTTTTACAGCAGATTCAGAAACCAGGTTGATCTGAGACCCGGAATCGAAGAGAGCACGCAACTTGAAGTTCCTTCCGCTCTTTGACGTAACATTCACCAATGCGGTCATCAAAAACACTTGTTTCGCTCGTTGTTGCATACTGGAACAGGCAGTAGACACAGGATCCTCAGGAACAGCTGCTGCTGTCTGCATCTCCTGCGGCTTGGATGTTCCACCTGGAGTTTTCTGCTTCGGCTCAGCTTGGGATACCTGCTCGAAGTGCAACATGATATGATGCTTTTTGGAACACCTCGAGCATGACTTATCTGATGGACAAGCCCTGATTTGATGGCCTTTCCTAAGGCAGTTGAAACATAGTCCGAATTGCCTCACCTTGGTAACACGCTGATCAACACTCATGCTCAAGAAGGAAGGACACTTGTAATTGCAGTGTTGACCCGCGCATATTTCACACACATTCTCCGATGAACTGGATGTAGCTGGATTGGAGGTTCTTTGCGATGAACTGGTTTTCCCCATCATAAGAGGCTTAACAGCTGCCTTAGCTGAGGACGCCTTGTCTACTTCACATCTCTCAAGTACCTGGCAATAACTTCTTAGGAACTTCATGGATTCTTCGAGGTCAGGAAGTTCTCCGTGCTCCATGGTGAGCTCCCACTGCTTCCGCGTTTCTCCATCAAGGCACATTGTAAGTAGCTTCACCACGATAAGACCGGCTGTTCCAACAACCTTCTGCTCCATGAACCGCAATCCTTCCACGTGGCGATTGCATGTATCGATAAGGTTTCTTAGCTCCTTGAAGCTTTGTTTGGCTATCGGTTTCATCGACAATAAACCGGAAATATGGGTGTCAATAATCACTCTCGGATTTTCAAAGCGCTCCTCTAACAACTCCCATGCTTGCTGATAGTTGTTGTCGTTGATGATTCTCGCATTAAGGATACCGGAAGCTTCACCGATCAGCGCCTTGTCCAGGTATTGCAGTTTAGTTGCATCGGAGTCGCCACACTTTCGGATCAAGTCATTGAAGAGAGCTTTGAATTTTGGCCAACCTTCGTACTTCCCATCGAAGGTTGGGATCGGCGTCTTCAGAGGTTGCTGAGTCACAATCACTTGGGGAACTCCATTATTAGGTTGTGGATCAGCACGAAGTAACTCCAACAGTTGATTCAGCTTCACTAACGCCTCCGTGTGCAGCTCGTCGAACTCGTCCAACTTATTGTCCTGATCCTCCATGTTTTCACTAGTACACTGAGCCACGATCAAGTCATGCTTCACCGCATACTCCGAATAATGTAGTTCCAATTTCTTCTCATAAGCCTTCAACTGGGAAAGGCTCGCTGTTTCAGGTTCATCCATAGCTTCGTTTAGCTTCTGGACGATCATTGTCACTCGCGCCTTTACTTGTCCTCGTTGATGAATTAATTGCTTCAATTTCGTCATGATTATACTTTTCACTACAGTTCACTCTCAACACTCACAGTTTTTAAGGGTACTACTGTACTTGTGATCGTAGGTTTCAAACACTTTTCACTCAATCGGGCACAAACTCGTTGGAAGGAAGGGTCACGAATATTCGCGGATGGACGTATCACACCGGTTGATATCCGGCTCGAAGGACCAATTGTTATGTACTCACTCTCTCTTGGGGTAGATCATTGCCCTTACCACAACAGCACAGACGAAAACCTACCTTGTGATCGAGCCACCGACAGCTATACACTTCACAGCCACCAGCATATGGATCGAAGAGTCACCGTTGGCTGTACACGCTACAGCCACCAGCGACGGAATGCCTCTCTCAAACGAAGGACCACGACACAACTCGTGATCAAGCCACCGACAGCTGTGCACCTCACAGCCACCAGTAGTGGGATGATGAGCCACTGACAGCTGTGCACACCACAGCTACCAGCGAACGGACGATGCACCGTTGGCTGCGCACACCACAGCGGACAGCGTAGGAACGATGGGTCGCTGATAACTCTTCAGCCACCAGTCGTTGAGCTGCCAATAGCTGTAACCACTACAGCCACCAGCGCAGTAATCTCTCTCTCTCTCTCTCTCGAAGGACCACGGCAAAACTGCCGAACACAAGGCTCTGATGAGCAGGGAAACAGGAAAGTTCAACTCTTTTAAAAGTGTCCACTAGGTGGAACTTATGGAAGATGAATCGATCACCACATGCAACCAGTGGATGAACGAACAGCAACTGGACGAAGCACGAATGCTCGGGAAATCTCCGTTCTCGGACGAAAAGAATGAGACACTGTTCTCAATTCTACCTTTATTTATTCGCTGCTTCCTCTTCAATGGTTAAATGCAGGATACTGAATGAAACATGAAATACAATGTTGTTTACTTTTATACTCTTTCATCGGCTGCGTCAGCCAATCCGGATGCGCCATTCGATGACGTCGTTCGTTTTCCTATTGGAAGCGTTCATCGCGTACAGTGATTGTTGCCAATTTTTTACCAGATTATAGTGAAAATAATGAGATTTATCCTAAAGGTCGCCAAAATTCAAATCCTTTTGAATATTTCCGGAGATGTCAAAGAGCAATTAGTTGCTAGTGCAATTCGAAATACGAACTCTGTTTCAAAAAAACTGCTGTACAGCTGTCAAATTGTCACCGAAGAAAAACACGTGTATCAGTGGAATATAAGCTTTCGTCTACAGGAGAGATTTCAGTGAGGTACGATGAACAAACTTTCAACATATCAGTGTTCTTTTTTTCCGTTCAGGTTCTTTACTGCTCAGAGGTTTCAGTGAGTTTATCGTCTCTCTGACTACCTGTCAAAGATGGCAGAAATCGTGGTTCGTATCCTTACGGGTCCTCACTATGTGCTCCTTTGAAAAATCATAAACAACAACTTGTTTGAAGGTCACACCTTCAAAGTAGATAGCTATTAGATTATAAATATTGACAGACAATAATCATATTACCCTAGTATGTTTTACATATTTTACAAGCATATTAAAAAACAATTTTCGTGTTTTTCGCCTGTTAAATAAGCACTCAAACCATCACTTTTGAAATGTATTTCCGATATAGCCATCACAAATTCAATGTTGTTTTCTTATTGCTTATATGTTTTCTGATAATATACTCATTCAAAGTTTCATATTAAAAGAACTTAATTCTTTGAGTTTCACCCATTTTTTTCTACATTCATCGAGCATTATCAAAGTAACCCCAAATCAAACAACTGAAGCTCGGTCACAAAACTAAAAAAATAGTGCAAATGCTTTAATTACCGTTAAACATATTACTAACGAATTAACTCTTGGATCCTCAGTACTTGTTTTAAAAATAAAAAATTTGAAAAACATTCATTGCTGTAAAAATTATTCAGAATATACTTTATAAAACTATCAATGATACCCCGTTTTACGGTACATTCACTTTGAACAAAAGTGGCCTTTAAACATAGCGTGCGATATCTTCACTCGTTCTTGAGATACATATATGGCATAGCGATGTTCCCGCACATGGACTTACGCTTAAGGCCCACGCACATTAGATCCGGATCGGACGCGTTGCGGCAAAGTGACAGCTAAATCTATTGTCTAACTGTCAAATTTACGTCAACGCAACGCATACGGATCTAATGTGAATGGCCCTTTACATATTGCTATATCGAAATCAGTATTCTTATGAGAGAGAGAGAGAGAGAGAAGAAGAAACGAGAAAGTGAAGTAAAGGTAAAGCTTATTACAGTAAACTCGTTCTAAATAGCTATTTGCGATCAACGAGTTAGGAATGATTTTCAAGTAATAGTGGTAAATTTTTGAATTTTGCATGGGAAATGTGGTTGAAGTAGCCTGGACTTCCACCGAGCTAGGGAGAATATCGCGTTAAAGAGAATGAGACTTTTTGTATCTAGTTCGTTTCTATCGCGTTAGCTTTACGGAGCCGATAATTAATTGTTCATTGTTTGTAACAAAATTCACTTATTTCTGTTGGGCCGAATATTCGTGGATACATTGTCGAAGGATAGGATCATGAAAGGAGCTTGGGGTGGGGTTTCGTTGTCGTTGTCGCCAGTTTGAACGGTAAAGCGAGAGAATGATACTTGACTATATTTGAATTCTGATATTTACCACATTGTATTGTTAATTATTCTTGTTTTGACTTATGTTACCATAATTGAGTCTTGGCGTCTCAACGGAATCATCTGGAGATCTCAAGATTTTTGTTTAAACTCAAAGGTTTTAGATGAAAGCACACGTCACACACGTGGTATTACGTGAAATATTACTTGGACTTGTTATAATCGATGAAAACAAACCGGTGCCGACTGGGATTGAACCCAGGCCTTTTGGGGTAGAGACATCATGATGATTGAAAATGGCAATGGTTGTATAAGTAAAAAAAAAGGATAATTTCCAAAACCTAGTTGTAAATGTAAATCTTCAAAATCTTCCCAACATGAAGAAAAGAAGAATTGTTGATAAGTATTCCTAATACTTAATGTTGAAATCAGATCCCATTTCAAATACAGTCAACTCTCCTTCTCCCTTGGTGGGTATCTAGGCTACTTCGACTACATTTCCCATGTACATTTAATACCGTAACTCGAAATCCTTTTCTAACTCGTTGTTCGCTTGAATATCTATTTTATCACCTCCCTTTTCTCGTTTTATCTCTCTCTCTCTCTCTCTCTCTCTCTCTCTCTCTCTTTCTCGACCATTCTCCTTTTCTCTCATTCTCATATTTACTCACACCGCATATTAGGTTTTGCAGCGTCGGGGTTAACCTCAATCTGATGACAGTTCAGTGGTACTGTTTACGTGGACTTAGTCGATTTTTTCTTGGTTAGATTTTCTGGATAATTTTTCAGATTGCAGTGAGATGTAAACCACACTTTTGCAATGTCCACGAGCAACATCCTTTCACCACGCATTTCCTCGACAATTCTCAAGTTAAAATTCGGAAATTTTAAAATATATATTTTTCGAAAAAACGACTAAGTGCTTGTAAACAGTATCACTGAACTGTCAAAAAGGTTCAGCCGATTAACACTGAGTTCATTTGTGACGTCACGCTGCAGTACCTAATAGCACTACAAGGATACTCATTGTGATATATCAATATGTAAGCGTAAGTCCATGTGCGGGAACCTCGCTTTGCCATATATCTCAACTAGAGATGAACTAGCCAACGGCTAAAAATCTCTCTAATAAAGACAAAAAAAAACATATCTCAAGAACGAGTGAAGGTATCGTAAAATATACTGTTTTAAAAAGCTCATCGTTCGAGATTTTGCACTTAGAGCCCTTGCACCACCTCTAAATGTAACCGATGTCAAATTTTGATATGTTACATAATTAGTCCCAATAATGATTTTCCACATGGGAAATCATGTCCCCGAACGATTATTAAAAATAAGCCCCACCGTAAATTCCAGGGCCGACATCTCGAAATTATTTCAAGATACAACGTTGCTGTCCTCTGCAATGTTGTTCAGGAAGCCAACGTTTAGTTTGGAATACACTCGCTAGGTGGCACTAGTGTTCTTATGAATTTAGTGCATGTAAACGACACGGGTCGACATCTCGAGATCCTTGCTAGATACAAAGTTGCTGTTTTTTACAAGCTGGAAGCAAGAAGAAGTATTAGATTTTTAACAATGTGTCTACAGTTTGTAACTCGTTATCAAATTCAAAAGTACATATGGAACGGTAAATAAATGTATAAGTCATCTATAGTAGAATCATTCCATTTTCTGTTTTCATATCCATTCGAAAAGAACCATGAAACCATATGTTGAAAATTAGTTCAAATGCCGTGGAAATTCTTTTAAGGTTTGGATAAACAAATTATTATGCTATACCACTGGGACACAATCAACACCGAGAGATACAACTGCTGGTGTCTCCGTTCACGGCTGAAAGCGAACTGTTTTAATATTCCTTTTTAGGCAAACATTTGGCTCTCTACTCTCGAATGATTCTAGATGATTTTCACAGTGATACAGTTTGCAAATCATCTTTATTTTGAGCAATTTATGTGTACGCCCTGAGTTGATGTCACCAGCCATGATGTGAAGATGTTGTTCTTTAGCTTGATGTTGGTGTCATCCAGAATAAGAACAATAAGTCCCAATGCAACTGAGTGGTCCGGTAGAGGTTATAATTTCAATACCAATGGTCCTTAAACTGATAGATAGGGGAAATGGATGTAATGTCGGCCTAAATGCCCCTAATTAGGGCCCATACATAATTTCAGCAATCGACCAAATTTTCAAAAGCGACCAAAAATATCCATTAGTACCGTCCGCACTATGGGACATTTTCATACAACCAGGCGGTCAAAAATATGTCTATAATATTTTCACAATTTCTGCTATTATTCTTGCTTTGTTTCATCAATATAAGGCGT